TTTTAGTTTTTGAGCAATTCATTTTGCCTTGTAATATTTTTAAATTGTTCTACAGGATGTTTATCTTTTGGTTTTAATGAATGTTTTGGAACTTGGCCTATACATGTGTGTATTTGTATGTTATGAAAACTTTTGCAGGAGAGTGGAACTAACTTAAGGGAAGTTAGTAGCGCTGCCTTCAGTTTCCCACACTCGATGAATTGCTTGTGGGGTTGTGGCTAGATGTTATTTAACTTGAAAAACAGGACTTTTTGATGATGACAAAAGGGAGAAAAGAAGAGGCAAACTATGAGGCTAAGTTGTTCTAGGTTCCATTTGAGAAAGGGTCAAAGATTTCTCAATATGTCATAAATTTCTCTCTGATTTCTGATTTGATGCCTTTAGTAGTTTCTTATATTACTTAGTTTAGTTTTGTGTTCTGCCTTTTGTGTTCTGTTTTAATTTTTTCTAAGTCTTTATTACTTTTGATTTTGTTTTTGTTGTATGTTTTTGTTGATAAAATCAAAAATAAAAAAAATACGAACCTTTTATTTTAATTGATTTCTTAAAGAGTTTGCTTAAGTTTGTCATCATAAAAAAGGGGTAAATTGTTGAAGCTTAAAGTTTTGATGATGATAGACTTAAACTCAAGCAAACTTAACTAAAGATTTCTTTTAGTGTTTAACTAAGAACAGGTGAAGTAGACCTTGGTGGTGGAAGAGTAAATTTGACTTCAAAGAACGTAAAGAAGAAGTATTTAAGAAGGTTAATCAAGATAAAATAAGAGTTCCCTAACAAGAACTCAGTTCTCTAACAAGAACTATTTAAGTTCCTTAACAGGAACGTTCCCTAACAGGAACTTGAAGACAGCAGGAACTTGGCCCTGGTCTGCGTGAAGCCCAAGCAATCCTCAAGCGCAGAATAAATCGGCACAACAACTTATTTAGTTAAGATTTTATCTTCTAGATTGGTTGTTAAATATGTTAAGTAGGGTTTGCACGAAACCTATTAGTAGCATGATAAGTTGCTTGGTAAATCTAATTAAAACGGAAAAGATAAAAGATAGATTTTAACTAAAGATTTTCTAAATTGATTTTATTTCTTAAAATCGGTTTAACAAAAAGATATTATTCTTTTTGTTAAAACTTTCTTTATCTTATTTTTTTGAAAAGATTTTATTCTAAATGATTTACATAAAACCGTGTTTTGGGATTTAATTAAATTAACTTATTTATCTTTTGAAAAACCCTACTTGCTATACAAGTAAATCTTGTATAAATAGTAGAGATCTCATTTCATGAGTTTTTGTGAGTTTATGCGTTAAGAAATCTCAGAGCTTAATTTGTGTAAGTTTGCCGAGTTTATAATCTTGTCATATTAGTTTCGGGTTCCGTGCATTGCTTGCCTAATATATTCTAGGTGTTTTATATTTTGTATTGGTTGGGTTCTTGGGTGAGTGTGTAATTTATATTTTTCATAAAGAGAGCTAGCTTCTAGTGTGAGGCTATAAGTGTACTTTGGGACTTAGATTGGGTAGGATAGAGTCCTATTGTGCAGCAAGTTCATTGTGGAACTTGTGAGTAAAGGTTTGTTTGTAATAGATTGTAATTTGGTATTTCCATATTATAGTGGAGTAACTTGGTTTTGGAAATCCCTTAGGAAGGGTTGAGGTCTTACTTCCAGTTGGGCCCTGGAAGGTTTCCTCGTAAAATTTGTGTGCATTTGCATGTTCCTTTACAGTTTAATTAATTTCCGCAAAAGTTGTAATAGGAACTCACCTACAATTCACCCCCCCCTCTTGTAGTGTTCGTCTCAACTAACAGTCTTGATAAACCAATACTACTTGAAATTCCAAATTTTTGTGATTGATATAATCTTGACGAAAAAATAGTGCCTATTTTTTATCGAAATTAGGTTTCTGCCATTGTTGGCATACTTCGTACTTTTGTATATTGCTTTAATTTTCCAAAAAAAAAAATTCAATAAAGTGAACCAAACCTGTTCAAAGAAAAATAAGAAATTGATAATCTCTTTCCATGTCAATAACTTAGCTAGTTTGGGAATTAAATTTTAAAATCAGCAATTTTGGTAAAAGATCCCATTACTTCCAGGAGTATATATATGTGAAGAATTGGACAAAACTTTACCAGCTTCTCTAGAAGTATCGAAACGTCGTGCTAAGGATGAGTGTCTTATTCAACCGAGTGAATGTAGACGATCTGAGAAGAAAGATCAAGAGAAAGTTAAGATCTGAGGATAGATTAAGAGAGATAGTGAAGTTCTTTATGGGAAGTTGAAGAGAAAGAGAGTGTGATCTTGAGAAGGGAGAGAAAGATCATTGGATTCTGCAAATGAGGAGGGAAGAATAAAAATTGACTCAGAGTAGCTAGCTAGCTTAGGGTTTTGATGTGAGATTGAATGTGGGAAGATGAAGAGTAAATGAATGTGTGATGTTAGGTAAATTCAATTAAGTTAGTTAGGGGGGTGAATTGATCTAGTTAATCATCTTATTTTACTTTTAAATTGTAACTAAAACTAAAAATTTGTAGTTTGTTGCAAATGGTGTGTAGCAGCAGTTTCTGGCAATTGTTATATATACATAATATGGAACACATTACACATGTATTTTTGTCAATTAAGGATGGTGTTAGAAGGCAATTTTATAGATACTTGTAGTAAAAGATAAGTCATCGTACAGGTCTAAATTACCTAAAAGTCAACATAAGCAACTGAAATTTCTATAATTCCCTCAAATCTCTCAAATCAATGGTGCCACAAAGACAAATATTAACCACCACGAGTTGTTGAAATGAAGAACACTATCCATCAGTATAATGAGTTTTGGTGCGAGGGGATTAGGGAGATTAGTTCGGCAATAATTATTGTTGTTGCTTGTTCATATGGAGAGTGAGAATTATTTATCAATGGAGGGATAGAAAGGTTTGTAAGAGAAGAAAAGGCGGGATGGTGAAGTATTTAGGTGGGTCGACTTATCGTGAGTCTGACTCACCCAATACTTTACTTAAGAAAAGGCAAAATTGACAGTAGCAACTTGAAGAAGCACCTTCAACTTTGCTTAGTAGCCAAAGCACCACCAACTATGACGTTAGGTACAATGCACGCCATATAAATGAAAATTTCCGACAACTTATTTAGTGGAAGGAGGTGAATCTTGCCTCTCTAGAACTGTTATGTAGTCTTCCATCCACTTAGCACGCATAGATTCATCTCTTCCGATGAAATGAAGAGGCCGAAATTTTCATTTAAGGCCCGCATTGCACCTAAAACTATAGTTGGTGCCTTGGTGGTGTTTGACCACTACGCATACTTCAAGGTGCTCAGTGCATCTAAGTCATATTTTAAGGTGTTGCGGTCAGGTCAATTTAAATAAAACTCACGGTGGTCCCGTCTTTGATGACATAACCCTTAAATGCTGCAATAACATAATTTGCTACAAGTTTTGCTTCTTAATAGTTATAGCTAAACGTGATCGTTTAAAATTGGCCCAGTAGTTGTTTGATGCCATCCATGATGCATAAATTTGACATGGGACTTATATTAATTAATAAAGTTCTAGAAGCACATTCCGTGAAGAATTTTCCAATAATATTATTACACTCATTGACTCCTTATTGCACAAATCTGAATAACTTATTACTTAAATAATTTGCATTGTTGTAAGGGCATTCGTTAATATAATTGATGGACGTGCTTCATCTAAAACATGGATAATTATCAACTATTTTTTCAATCACAGACGAAGTACTTTTTTGGTTTTGTTTTGTGCACTTCAATTTATGAGGAAATCCTAATACATTACCGTTAGACACAAGCAAAATGGCATAACATTCTTTTATATATATACAGTTAGAAGTTTTAGTGTATTCATGAGATGTTTTCTATGTACTACTAAAAGTGTCTTTTATACTACTATAAATGTCATTAATTACAAAATTGTCATTTTAATGTATTTGTTTGTGTCTAACAGTGATGTATCAAGACTACCTCCTCAATATACCACATCACCATATATTAGTGAAAAAATATAGAGGGATAGGATGACACAATGAGGGTTTTTTTTTTATTTAGAAGAAAAATAATTTTATTAATAATAGATAGCTACATGACACTTACAAGCAATTTCAAAGAAAACTGAAATTCGAACACAATACAACCCCTTAGAACTTATACTTCTTCCTCCGTTTCTTTATAGTTTTTTTTTTTTTTACAACAACAAATTTTAAACAAAACTAAACATTAAAGCTATGTAAATTGACTCTACAACTATTCGCAATGTCATGAACCTTAGCAACCTGTTCTCTTCCAATTTTCCATATGATGCAAGTTATAAACCATCGTCCCACATGTAGTAGATCTTGTGTCGTCCTCATCAGTCGCATTTCCCGCCGTTTAGGTAGTTAAATAAATTGGATTAGGGCCAATGAGTCAGTGAACAAAAGTATTCTTCGGTAACCTCTCACTTCTGCCCACTTTAGCGCAGCTACACATGCCATAACTTCCGCGTGTAGAGATGAGTGGGCTTTGCCATAGCTTCCACCCCCTTCCATATAAGTTATATGGTCTTTTGAGTATGCCCATCCCATAACTGTCATTTTAGTCCGCTTTTGCCAAGAGCCATCAGCCATTATAGTCACCTCCAATCTAGCATCTGTTGGGTGATTAATATCTTCCCTTTCGTAACCAATGTTTACTCTTTCAAAACCCGGCGGTGCGCCATTATCACCACTTTCCTTGGCGTTGAAACCAACCCCCCCCCCCATCCACTCTTTGCCAAACTGATAAGTTATGCATCGCCGTATTGTAGTTTCTAAACAAGTCCGCAAGATATCCTCCCTGATTACTAAAGACCCTCCCATTTCTAGTCAGCTAGAGACTCTAAAGGATCCCTACGAAAGTCATTACTCGTTCGCTCTTTTTTCCATCCTCTCTATGAAAAAGCAGGATATAATTCTGAATCTAGTGTCCCAAAGGAGTAGATTCATCAATTTCAGACGAGATATTCAAGGAACAGTTCTTCCAAGCATACCTCGCAAAAGAACACATCCTAAAAAGATGTTGTTGGTCTTCCTCTATCATACCACAAGAATCACAATAATCATCTATATCTATCCCTCTTCTGACTAGGTTAGACTTGACAGCCAACCCATTCATGACTAGCTTCTAGAGAAACAAGCTCCACTTTGGTGGAATATTGAGCTTCCATATTAGCCTGAAAAAAAGAGTGTCAGAGAAAACGTCATGTTGCAAAGTAAAATTGCTCATTAGAAAGGCATAGCCCGTCTTAACAGTGTAGATTCCAGATCGATGCCCCCCCCCAATAAAGCACATCCTTCTCCTCATTCAAAGGCAACTCCATTTCTAAAATTTCCTGTGCAGTACTCCATTCAAACCTTTCCCTGATGATAGCAACATTCCAAGATCTTATTTCTGGGGATATCAAATATTTCACTCTCCCCGAACCAACCCCCCGTAGAAGATGACTTGATTTAAAAACATGAGTTAAGCCTTGCACCCATCTCATATTTGCAACTTTCACCCTTTCACCATTGCCTATCTTCCAATGATACCCCTTAACCCTTTTATTCGCCACATTGAATAAACCCTGTCTACCCCAAGAAGCATTACCACGAAGACACGATCTAGCACCTCCTACACATAGAGGACACTCATGAATAGGATCAAGAGAGCGAGCCACCAACAGCTGGGGATTACAATACATCCGGGTCACCTGTTTAAAAAAAATAGCATCATTCAAACAGACCATAGACCTTATACCTAGACCTCCCATGCCCTTTGGTCGTTGAATAATCTCCCTCTTGACCCAATGCATGCCTTTTTCTCCCCTTGAACCCCACCAAAACCTAGCAATCAAGGAGTTAATCCTATTGGTAATCGAGGTTGGAAACTTGAAGCATTTCATCACATGAGAAGAAATACTAATCAGAACAGTGTTAATCAAGATTAATTTTACCGATTGTGACAAGTTGAGAGCTACCCAAGAGAGTATTCTAGCAGCAAACTTGTCCACCAAGTACTTGAAAGCGTCCATTTTCCTTGTCGTGAAGTCAATTGGCGCTCCCAAATGTCTATCTAGTACTTGTACTTGGCCTATATTCAAAACTGCCTTAAGACCCTCCACTTCTTCTATTTGTGCCAGCTTGCTAAATTTGACAAAAGCTAGATTTACTTAATTTTAGTTGTTGCCCCGAGATGTCCGCAAATCTATCGAGGATATCCACCACATTTTTGCAAGAATCCAGGGTTGCATGAAAGAAAACAATTGCATCATCTACAAAAAACAAATGTGAAATTGATGGCGATCGACGGGTAACCCAAAGCCCTTTAATCAGGTTAATATCTTCCGCCATTGAAAACATTCGAGATAAAATATCCATGCAGAATAAGAAAAGATACGGTGAGAGGGGATCCCCTTTCCGCAAGCCACATTCTGATTTAAACATCTCCGAGACCTAACCATTAATAAGAGTCATGTATGAGACAGTTGAGATACATTTTGAGATCCATTGTATCCAAACTCCCGGAAATCATACGTCGTAAGAACCCTCAAGAGGAAAGTCCAGTTCACACTATCATAAGCTTTAGACATATCCAACTTAATCACGGCTTTGGTGGATTCTCCATTACTAGTATAAACCAGATGCAATAATTCATGACTCAGCATCACATTATCCTCTATATATCTATCTGGCACAAAAGCATGCTGATATTTTGAAATTAGTCCAGGCAGAAGCGTTTTTATTCTGTTAACCATACATTTAGCTATGCATTTGTAGATAGTGTTGCATAAACTAATCGGTCGAAACTGTGTTGGCAGTTCCAAACAATCAACCTTCAGAATCATAACAAGAAGGGAGGCATTAAACTCCTTTAAAAGATGTCCTGTAGAGAAAAAAGATTGTACCGACTCCACAACCGAGCTGCCCACCTCCTCCCAGTGTTGGTGAAAAATTTCTGCTATATAGCCATCCTGTCCTGGCGCTTTTAAATTATGAATATAGAACATCGTCTTCCGTATCTCTTGGTGCGAGAACGGTCGTATTAAGAAAGATGCATCCTCCGGTGCAATAGAAGGTAGGTCTAAATCCCGTAGCACCAAGTCAACCTTTTCATTCATAATGTCTACAGAATCCATCGGTGGATTATACACCTCCCTCAAAGTATCCCTAATGAGTTGTTGTAAATTCTCCTGACCTTGAACCCAAATTTCATCATCCTTCCTTAAATTAACAATCTCCCTCCGTTGTTTTCGTTGCTTCACTCTACCATACATCATTTTAGAAGACATATAACCTTCCTTGATCCACCAGTCCTTGATTCTTTGTTGCCAATATTTAAACTCCAAACCACTCTGAGTGATAGTCTCATTAATCGCACTGACATAGCTATTACCTTGCTCCAAAGTAGTAATTCCACCCCCTTGGTCATGAAGTTCGGTAGAGTACTTTCTCCAATTTATTCCCCAAACTTTCTTATTATCCAAACACCATCTTTTCATTTTATCCCGTAGCCACTTCGACCGCAGTTGAAATTTGTACATGACTGACCCCGAGCATTGAACACCCCAAGCTTCACCAATAATAGTCTTAATCTCCGGGAAGACCAAGCACCAAGTCTCAATTTGGTACGGCCTATTTGATTTTGATAACCTAGTGTCTAAATCATAAATTATTGTTGCATGATCCGACACCGTAATAGGTTCATGAGTGACTCTTCCATCCGGAAAATTATTAAACCATTGCGAAGAAGAGTATGCCCTATCCAACTGTTCCATGATCAATTCTGTTCCCAATCTTTTGTTTGACCAAGTGTATCTTGGTCCCGTAAAAGGAACTTCTAAAAGGTTAGTTTGGAATCTCCAATCCAAAAACACATCCAAGCCCTTTATCAAAGATGACCCCCCTAATTTGTTACTATAATATTCCAATTGATTTATATCACCCATAATCAACACATTTGGAGTGCTAGAAATAAGTATTGAAATCTCCTCCCACACTTTAGGTCTATCTTCTACTTTCGACGCTCCGTACAAAAACAAAAGATGCCTACTACTTCCATTAATGTCAACAACATTACAAAAGATAAAATTTGAGGAAGAAGCAATACAAAAGACATTCCCCAAATACCAACTAAACAAGGCTAAACCCCCCTTAGTCCCATCCGAGTCTACTCCACAAGAAAAACTTGGAGTAAACTTATCCATTGATTTACTAATTAACATCACTAAACAACATTTTAGTTTCGGAAATAAAAATAAAAGTAGGCAATTTAATAGCTAACAACCACACTAAATAAGGATGTGTAGGAGATAGTGTGTTGTTTAAACCCCTACAATTCCAAGTGATAATTTTCATTGATCCATAGGGGGCTGTTTCGGTGCAGCCACCTCACCCATAACTTCATCAAAATTTTCAGCAACTTCACTGTTCACTTCCACCTCCATATCACTATCATACGCGTGAAAATTAGAGGTAACCTCCTCACTACGCTGCTTCTTGGTCGGACTAGAGTGACCTGAAGAAGAAGACTGCTGCCTTTTCTTCCCTAAAATACCAGAAAGCGATGCTTTAATTCGTACCCCCCCATTGTCTTGCCATGTCAATATCACTAATTGCCTTCGAAATGAAATGAAATTTGCCATTTTTATCTCGTTGCCAAACATTAAAGCCTCCTTTATCCGCCCATCGATTAAGAGATTTTAAGCGCTTTCGCTCCACCCATCCCAAACCATAAGAAGCTTCCCTCACCGAATCATCATCACATGACTTCGATGGTACACGATCAATGGTGCGTTCCCTTTTATGAGAACACCTTTCTTCATCTTCCTTAAACGCATTCAACACATCAATTGATCTAATAGGTGACACAGGAGAGTTTGGAGGGTTGTATTCTGTCAGTGGCAAGTGATCCAAATTCATGGGGAAAGTGGTGGGAGACTCAGGGAGGTACGGGGACCTTACAGCGGATGGATAAATCCTTCTTGTTATTGCTTTGTAAACCGTCATGGCTCGCAAAAAAGCCCTCTCTGTTTCCACAAAATTTAATTGATTATTTTCTAAAAAAACAGCATAAGAATTAGAGTTTACCCCTTCATCATTTCCGTCGTTATTCAATTGGGATTGCGCAATTTGCTGCTGCTGCTCATTTGCTGCGTCAATTGGCTGCTCTGTACTCGGGCTGATTTGGGCCATAAGGTGCTGATGCAAGTCAGGCTGATAGGCCTCAATAGCACTCGATTATTCATGAAATTGAACCGGCTTAGGTGGTGGGAAAGCCCACTCACTTATTCCCAAAGTCTGAAATAGGGTTCGAGCATTTTCAGCACCTCACCAAAGTTGGAGCCCACAACATCATCGAGGTCGAATTTGATCCCAACCGTACTTGAAGACTCACCAATCTCAAAGCTGGAGTTTGCATCCCTCGCTAAAGTTGGAGCCCACAACATCATCAAGGTCGAATTTGTTGTTGCTGAATTAATTCGACATGCTATATGTGGTATTGGAATAATCCTACCAATTGGCCCCTCCGCAGACCTATCAACCTGATTTGAAGGCCCTAGATTGATTCTGGAGTTCACATTAAAGAGAGCCCTGTATCCCAGAGGGATATCCTCTAGCTCCTACAACCTGGTAAGATTAACACCCCAATTGCGATACATGTACACATCAGGTAAACCTTGAACATAATTAGTGTAGTAGGGATAGTCCAAAGGGCCATGTAAAACCCTCAGACCATCCCTTTCAACCGCCCCAAGACGCCTTAAAAGACGGCGGGCTGCCACATCACTTCTCATATTACAATTGCTAGTGCTATGATCAACACAACCACAAGTTTTACATAATCGGAAAACACCTTCATACCTGAAGTAAACCCAGATTACTCATTCTCCCTGAATCGGAATAAAACATCCCGGAATTAGCGGCTAAGTTAGATCAACCACCATGCATGCCCTTAGCTCTGCTCTCTTTGGTAATCGGCCATTTTTAATTGGTTCTAGAGTATCTAAATAACCAATATGAACAAAAATTCTCCTCTCCCATGCCTCCGTGAGAAACTGGAGAGGCAATCTGTAGACTCGAACCCATAGCCTAGCTGTCGAGAAATTAATTTGTTGTGGGATAAGAGCTGCATGATACCTTCTAAGATTGATTATACGCCCATCAAAAACCGTAGAATATTGCCGTAGTAAGCCCTCCAGATCACTCTGAACCAAGCACTCAAAAAGAAAGTAATCTCCAGTACAGTGGACACGAACATGCCCCCTTGTGACCCACCTCTAGTTGATTACATGCTGCACATAAGTAGCTGATGGTGGATTCGGACCGACAAAGACTCCAATTGCAGAGTTATTGAAGTTTATATTTAGGAAGTCATTATAATGAGGAGGTGGGGTAACTAGGACTCCCATTCTATGGGACCTAAGTCGATTATTGTTTGAAGGTGGGTCATTTTCATTGCTATTATTAGGGTCATTTGGATTCTGGTTTGCCATACCACTTCAATTAAGTAGTACAGACAAGAAAAAGGTATAAGAAGAGAATAGAAATTGAGAAAAGGATGTATGCAAGTTGGGGAGTAAATAACTCCTTCTTGGGAAGGAATCTGAAGAGACAAGGTAATTTGGAGTAATTGCATGTCGAACAAGTGGCAAACAAGAATTTAAGAACAATTACTTCTGGTATTCTCCAAATGATACAGGGGTGATGGGCTCAAGGAGAAAGATTTCATTTACTCCTTCACTTCAATTGGCTCATGCAAAAAGTGGAGATATGGAATAAAAGGAGAGTAAAAACTCCTCTGCCACAGTTGGGCGAATAAGAAAAGGGAGATATTGAGTACAATAACACCTCAAAGGGGATTGGGTGACATAAAATATGGAAATCCGAAAGGTTTTTCTTAGATTTGCTCAAGAAATCCTTGAGCGTGTGTTTGCATGCTACAGTAAACAAGAGCAAAAAAAGGTGTAGACACCCATTTGTGTCTCCCCAAAACCAAATCCGGTGATGAGTACCTTTCACGTCGAATCATAATCGAATGAAGCGAAAGTGTGGAAAGTTTAGTGTTGCGGATAGTTTTAATTTCTTTTCTCTTCTCTCTGTTTTTGAAAACTTATTTTTAAGAAAACAGCCAATAAAGTTTGGTTGGTCCATGATATAAGTCCAATAGTAGTGTAGTTGGATGGGGCTTGACAAGAGATTTCCAACGATATATTATAAGCCCAATTCCGATGAATATTGAGGAAGTTATGGCCAATTTACTGAACTGGGCCCGGTTTGAGCCTTATATACGGCCCAATGATCTAGAGGATGGCCTAATCTAGATTTATCATTCCTAATGCAATAAAGAATGGTTTTAGTCTTCTAGATTCTTCTAGAAGGTTCTTTTCATTCCTAATTCAATTAGCATTGATAAATTGACTTTTGTTGACTCTTCAGAGTTTTAATTAAAATCAAAAAGCATTTTCGAGGAAAAGATACGATTTTATCCTCCAGTACGACAAACTTATCTAATTTTCGAAAACGCGTCAAAAACAGGACTAGCGCCTGACGCTAGGCAATGGCGCCTGGAGCTACGCCTAGCGCCAGCCATTGGCGCCTGGAGCTACGCCTGGCGCTAGTGTTGGCGCCTGGCGCCAATTAGCCAGGGTTGGCGCCATCTCTGTTTCACGTGCGCCAAGTGCTCTGTTTTGATATTTTTATCTTTTTGGCTGATTTCTCTATAAATAACGACATAAAAACTCCGTTTTCAGTCATCTACAATCAATTTTCAATTCTCATTCTCTTCTAATTCATTAATTCATCTCTCTCTCTCTTTCTTTCTTTCTCTTTAAACTTGCTTTTAAATAAAAAAATTCCGCATTCACAAGATCTGGAAACACCTAGCCATATTCGAAGTTGCGTTCGCCCTAGACGTGAAAGGTTTAATTTCTGAGGGTTTGGTCCCAAATCTCTCTTTCAATTATTTAATTTAATTGTTTGATTATTATTTTCCTTGAAGTTACTAACGTGTATATTTTGTTTTTAAAAAGAGGTACGAGGCATCAAAGTACGTACTTTAATAGTTTTTATTAATGTTATGATATAGAAATCCTGCTTAGATTGTTATTGTGATTCCTAGTATCATGTCTAGGGTAATTTTAATATTAAATATGATTGTTACGATGCCTTTTATGTTCTTTATAATATTTATTCATGTTATTATCATGTTAGGATTAAAGCTTTGATCTTTATTGCTTAGTGACATGCTAGGGTTTGTTATTAATCTTGTTAGTGTCATGCCTAGGATCTTTCTATTATTATGCTTTAATATTAACATGAACATGATTATGATTATAACTGTTATAATTTATGATGATTATGAATATTGTTATTGTTATTTTATTTATGACGATTATTATTATGATTATTATTTTTATTATTATCTTGATTATGAATATAATTTTATTGTCATGATATTTATTATTATTATTATGTTGATTGATGCTTATTTATTGTTATTGCTTGATCACGCCTTTTATGCATGTTTAAAGGGAATTGGTACTTGTAATCACGCTTAATAAGATAATTAATAATCTTGTTTAGGGTTAATTGTGATTATAATTTCAAGTGATCGCCAATAATAGATTTATTTGTGTATTATATTGAACCAACATAGATAAACAGGTTTAGGGTTAATCCTATTGATTGCATGTTAGTCAGAAAGCGCACATGAATACGATCAAAATAAAGTAGAGGCCTATTATTAGGGCAGATTCAATCTCTTTTAGGTTGAATTTGTACCTTCATCCCCGAACCCTTTTTTGGTTCAAGACCTTATGGAGTTGACGATCTCTTGGATCGTTAAGGGGTGTAACCTTCACTTTGTGAACGGTTTGCAAGTTCCTAAAACTTGTTGGCGACTCTTTTGCTCTATCTTCTTCCCTTTTGGACGCCACCTTACTTTAGTGTATGATCACAGTGGGGTTCAAGCTAGGGGTTAACGCTTGAAATTTATTCCCTACAGTTTTTGGCTACTCCGCTGGGGAGGATTTCTATTTTAATTCCTGAATTTGTTTCGGCAATGATTTAGAATGAGTGGATGAGACTCGAAACGTTCTAAGTATTTCATGTGCGTAATTTTGATTAACATTATTGTCATATGCATAAAAAAGATCTCATTGGAGAGACCATCCGTAATGAGTTAAAAACATAAGATTTTACACGT